ATAAACGGTGTACACAGCCTGGAATACAAGCACAGGTTTAAGGAGCTCAGCAGTATCGACATGCTGGAAATTAACGGGGATATCCACTTACTGGAAGTCAGGAGCTGGTAGCTGATGCGACTGCTATGAACCCTGAAATACACAATGGCTACTGTGGTACTGACTCGTCCAAACGCATCTGTCACTCTATTGTTTATCTTGCTAAATGAGCTTGCACAACATGCGTCCCATTGGGCGTGCTCAGTCCTCGCCAGGCAGCGTGACTGTGTCTAACACTTTGTCACCCTGTTCTTGCCCACCCTCGCCGCCTCTTTTGAAAATCACTTTCAATGAGTATTTATTAAGCATCTGGTGTAACAGGTGGACAAATGTTGGGGCTGTGCTAGGGGCTGGACACATACACACTGGTGCCAGAAACCAGCATGTTCTGTGTCCTTTTGAGCCGGGATGCTTCTGTGCTCTACACAACCTCATCAGGGCCCCTCGGGATTCGAGTTGTGCAGCTGCTAAGTCACTCCAGACGCTCCTCTGTAGAAGGCACTCCTCCTTCCCTAACCATGCTCTGTGACACCCCACAACTGAGAGGACTGATGCCGACTTACACCTGGCAATTCACTTTCTTTGGTGCAATATATACATCTAGCTCTACTAGCATAAGTTTTACCAAATAATTAACATGACATCTGAACACAGCACATAAATTAAGGCAACAAACCAAAGCAAAACAAAAAAATAAGTGGTGATGAAATTAATGTCAAGCTCGAGGCAGCTGATTTCTATGTATCTGAATTTACAGTGTCTATACAGACTCCTACGGAGAGTTCACAGTAAAGACAAGATGCTTTTAATTTGTAAGACATTTGTGGGTAGCACAGTAATGTCAAGATTAGAATTAAAGAATTCATGGCCGGGTGCAGTGGTGCATTCCTATAATCCTAGCACTCTGGGAGGCCGAGGTGGGTAGATTGCTTGAGCTCAGGAGTTCAAGACCAGCCTGACCAAGAGCGAGACTCATCTCTACTAAAAATACTAAAAATAGAAAAACTAGCTGGGCATTGTGGCAGGCACCTATAGTCCCAGCTACAGCTACTCAGGAGGCCTAGGGAAGAGAATTGCTAGAGCTCAAGAGTTTGAGGTGACCGTAGTTCTGATGCCATGGCAGTCTACCCAGGGCAACAGAGTAAGACTCTGTCAAAAAATATATAAAACTTTAAATAATAAAAGTAAGAAAAAAATAGTATTAAGAAATTCATAAAATAGGCACTATCAGAAAGTACCATATACCACTGAGAGACCCATGAAGGAGGCAGGGAGGTGACCTAGAAATCTGTTGTCCGCCTGTGAACCACGGCTTGTGGCCACTGTTCTAAAGATTAGTCTTCCTTAGTAACTGAGATGAAAACACTTGTTACACTGTTAGTGATTAAAATCAAACCTGAATCAGCTGCATTTCTGCACTTTTTCTATTATTGGAAGGGAGGTAGCAGTTCTGTGTAGGATCTTTACCAGTCGTATCTTGTCACAGGAAATGCCAAAGGTTTGGGAGAGGGGAGGGATAGAAGCTCAGTCAAGTCAGATCATTTTATTATTGGAATCTGCTGGGCAGAATTTTGTTGTAGCAGATTTTGGTTAGATGTTATTTCTATCCATATGTTAAAAAGAATACTATTACCAATCTTATTTTTTTTAAAGCAGCGTAGAAACTGTTAGCCCTTAATTCTTTTCCAGCTTCATGTTTATTTATCACAGTCTGTCTTGCCAACCCTAGAAAAATATTGGGGGGGGGGGAGCAGGGAAAGTTATAGGAGGCAAGAAGTCTCTAGAATCCCTCTCAGTTATTTTTTCTTCATAAAAATCATCAGAGGCTTGGTGCCCGTTGCTCAGTGGTTAGGGCACCAGCCACATACACCGGGGCTAGCAAGTTCAAACCTGGCCAGGGCCTGCTAAACAACAATGACAATTACATAAAAAAATAGCCAAGTGTGGCAGGTGCCTGTATTCCCAGCTACTTGGGAGACTGAGGCAAGAGAATTGCGTAAGCCCAAGAGTTTGAGGTTGCTGTGAACTGTGACACCACCACACTCTGCTGAGGGCGATGCTGTGAGACTATTGTCTCATCTCAAAACAATCATCAAAGAATGTGGCTGAGATCTTGGACAATGTGAGGCATTTAGGAAAAAAACCCACTCACTGTTTCTCTTAATCTTGAACATAACGTTCATTTTCATTTATGTTCAAGCTGGAAAGACTGATTCTTTGACAAATGCAAAATCTTAAGATTTTTGTTGAGATATTTCTTAGAAAGAAATGTGCATTTCTAAAAAGCTGTCTCTCTAACCTGCAAGTTGGCCTTTTGCTTGGCACAGTTCCACAACTCTGTTTAATATTAGAGCCCAGGTTTTCAAACTAATGTGGACATTCTATGGATAGTTCTTAGATACCTTTAAAAAATCAAGGCAGATTGGTTTATTTTTGTTTGAGTCCTTACCAGCTTCACCATGACACAGTACAAGAGATTAGGGTACTTCAAAGTATTGAAAAAAAAACCTACTTGTATTTACTTTCTTTGCTATATTAGTAATTCTTGGGGTAACCACCAGTGAAATCATGATCATTTGTAATCCTGGAGGGGCACCCTCATGCTACCTAGCATTTCTGGGAGCAGCCAGGTGTGGACTATTTTATAAGCAGGCTATTGCTACATTCCAGAACTGCTTCCCTCTATGGGCCTGCACAAAGAAATTAAGGCTAAAGCATCTTCTACTCAAAATGAAAAGTAAAAATCCCAAATGACTTTGCAGTCAAAAGTATTCCTGCTGAATGCAGATTAACTGTTCACTGTCATTTAGTTGAGGTAGAGTGCTAATCTGAGTGAAATCACCATGGATGCCAAGTCCACCAGATACTGCTACACAGAAGAGTTAAGGCTTTACAGTCTACATGAGATCCCAGCTTTGGGTGCTAAAATTAAACATATCAATCATATACTATAACAAATGTTAAACAAACCCAGCAGAGTATATTAAAACATCATATAACATTTACTTGTTTTGAAACTCTATACAACTGGCAGGAGAGGCTTATATGGTAGCACAAACCATGTGGGAATTCTGTCTAGAAGTGATTAAGTCCAGTAGGTGTTAAGGCACCAAAAGTAACATGGCACCAAACACCCCAAAATAAAAATACGAAAAATAAATTTCAACTCTGAGCAGAGTCTGAAAGATCAAAGAGCTTCAGAAGTAGCTCTGGAGTGGCTCCCCCAGGATCGCTTCCAGCTGCTGAATAGTCTTTTGGCACTGATGCTCCACTTCTTCACATTCATCTAAAAAAAAAAAAATCAATCAATAAAATTAAAATCTGAGTCAGTCCACCTTCCTGCTTCAGGCATCAGCCTAATTCTAAATGTCTTCATCCTCTGGCAATCGTTTAATCATAAGAGCAAAATGAGGCAAAGGACCACGGAATACTCTGCAGTCCTGCTTTCCCCTCACTCCCTCCCTCCAGGCAGACAGAAGCCCCAGAAACAGGTAGACAAATTCCAATTCAAACCCCCTCAGGATGCCTCTCTTGAATAGCTCACACAGCCCTTCTGCAGGAGGCAAGAAACAGGAGAATGCATTTGTTTGGTTTAGAGAAGCCAAAGTAGATCATCAATATAAAAGAACCAGTGTGCTCATCCCACCATGCCTGCTTCATCACATGGTTGTTTCTGGGCCATGCGGTGGTACAATGCTTAAAAGGGTATGTTGAGATATTGGTTGTCTAGACCTGGTTAGACAATGTGATTGTCTAGACCTCTGCTTCCTCTTTACACTTTTGTCACCTGTGTCAAATAATCGAAAACTTTTAGGCCTCTAGTTTCCTCCTTTTAAAACAGGGATAATGGCACAGGGATAGTCCTGTTGTGAGGATTAAATGAGATAACCCTCGTATATCACCTAACTTCAAGTACTGAATGGATGGCCGTTACTCAAAGTGGACACAGACATTTCTATACAATAACCCCACATTTGGGGACCAAAAGATTCAGTCATATGAATGTATGAGGTTCATTAAAAACAATATTGTAATCTGTATGATCACAAGAAAAAAATCCACAATAGACAGTTAAGTTTATACTGTAAACAGAGTCTCAAGTGATCACCAGGTGGCCACTTTCTAAGTCGCTCCCTCCACCCTACTCAGTAGAGGAACTGGAGCCTGCGCGTACTTGAGGCTGGGAGCAGGGCAGAAGACTGGATCAACTGCTAATGACCTTATGTCCAAATACGCATTATCCCTGGGCACATTTTCACAGAATTTTACTGTAATTATTTCTTAATAGTTTAACAGTTTGGGAATTACCTTCCATCAGTTCTGCTAAGAAAGGAATGGATTCTGGTAGTAAGACAATATAATTCTCCTTGAGTTTTTCAGCCAGTGCTAATACAGTAAGCAAAGCAGCAAATCGAACCTGAAAGGGATGAAAGAATTAAAAAAAAGTATTGCTCTTTTCAGTCTTTTTTTTCTTTGCAGTTTTTGGCCAGGGCTGGGTTTGAACCTACCACCTCTGGTATACGGGGCCAGCACCCTACTCCTTTGAGCCACAGGCGCTGCCCCATTCTTTTAAGATCTGTACTGAGTTGAGTCAAGCTCTGCTTTCAAAACTAATGTTATGTTACCTGTGGGTTTTTTTTTTTCTACTTTGTTAAGTCCATTCAACTTTTATTTTACAATACCGGTTTATTTTATAATATGGGCAACTTTATTAATCTGTGTTTTCCAAACTGTGTTCCAGCCCTGTAGATCTTTAATGTCTTTTTACATTTTCCTTTAAAATAAAATAAAATACCATGTGCAAATGCAAGCTTGTCACCAAATTAAACTGCATTGGAGCTCACCAGTTTGCCAGGCTGCCTGGCCTGGTGCCGAAGTGGCAATAAGCATCCCTGGCCATTTCTGCAGGGTCCCTCCCCACAGGGCCAGATAGCAGTCAGTGCTGTAGTGTAGGAGGGTCCAGGGCACCTGAGTGGGTTATGCTCTCATCTCAGCACTGAATAATAAACAAACTGCATCATGACGTCCTAGTTGTGGAACTTTAAACAAAAAATTCGGAGTTTCTCACATGCCTCGTCTGTAATAAGGAGTGCAAGCAGTTGTAGGCATTGTCAGTAACTCACTTTGAAACAAAACCCCTACTAGTTCTTTTTCTAGTTTTGGGTATTTTAATGAAAGACTCTTTGGATACTGCAAAATGAGGAGCTATTAAAAACACCTGTTTGTGAATACCTACATTCAATCAGGATTTCCTTGATACTCTACTGATGCTGCAATTTGTGGAAGAATTATAGTTTAATTATGGTTTAAAATTTGGGGGTTTACCAAAATAGTCTCATTGTACTCATATCCTAATAAGTAATCTGAACTAATAAATTCTATAAATAAAATCTGCTTTGTTCTGTTCTATATAACCAGTGAGGTTCTAATACAGTATAACTAGTTTGAGAAATGGTGATTTACAGCTGAAACAGTTTGAAAATTCTGACACTCAGATATGGAATTTTCCATATCTTCCACTCAACCTACCGTAACACTGTATTCCCACCGCCACCACTTACTGCACAAGATGGGAAGCCTAATGTGGAAAAAGGATCGTGTGTGTGCTGCTCTGACTTAGAAAGACTGCTCCGTGGACCACTGAAAGCCTCTCTAAGCACAGTGACATTTCTATGGCACTTTAAAAACACGAGGAATCTCTAATCTTTACTATTCAAGATTTGAAAGTATTTCAAAAGTATTTTAGGACTTGTGTATAATAGACCACTGAGGTCAGGGGAGAAGGGACTTATAATTATTTATAAATAGCCTGTAGGTAAACTCAGATTTTCTTGGGCCCAAATTTCTACCTAACACAGAAAATCAGACCTGTAATTCTGCAGTGACAATTGTTCTTAGCATTCTTCCCTGCCAGTTTCCCGGGGGCCTGGGACCACCTGCAGGCTGCTGAGACTATACGGAGAAAACATGCAGCTTCAGTGCTTGTCACACCAAGGTGAGGTTGTCACCAACCTTAGGGGAGGAGTCTCTCATCTTTAGCAAAATCTGGTAGTTGAGTGGTTTCCAGAGAGAGTCATCGGCCATGGCCACTGAGAACTGTGCGAGGCACGGTATCAGGTGTTTCGTCACCCGCTCCTGGAACTTCTCTTCTCCACCAAGCCTGTTCTCCAGCTAGGAAGAGTAAAACAAGGACTTTGAGAACAACAGGGCTTACTTTTTCTTCTGTTTTAAAAAATAACGAATGTATAATATTTGTAGGATAGTATAATATTTTACTATCCTTCATGACATTGGTAGGCTCAAAAACTAAGTATTACATAGAATTCTAAAACTCCAAATGTACTGCCTCCTTCTGGAACTCAAATGGAATTTCATACCCTTCAGCATCACTCTTTCTCTCCAGCAGAACATCCTGGAGTTCGTTCTTCAGAAGGCAGCCACGCTCAACAAAGCCCAGTTAAAAAACATAATTAAATGCACTATGAAACCTTGTATCAGGTCTTGCTTGTGACAAATTAAACCCTTGAAACTCCACAGTTAAGTTATACCCATGAAAAATCAATCTTTAAATAACAAATTCATTAAAAAGACCTTTAAAAAAAGGCCAGCAAGCATTCAAGCAGACAGGACACCCGCAAAGACTGAGCAGTGACAGCCCCTCCACAGCCGCGGCTGCTCCGTGCAGTTACCTGATCCACCAGAGGCCTCATCAAGGCTTCTGCTCTCTCCTTGCTGATAAAATGCTGGGTGTCAAAAAGGAAGATTTTATACAAACAGTTCAAAATGAACTGCAACAGCAAGCAGCACTTTTCAGGGTCATTTTCAGAGTCAAAAAATGCTTCGTCTGCAGAAGGGGAGGAGTAAAAATGGAAAGAACAACAGTTTCACAAGTTACTCTCCAACGTTGAAGTTCAAATCACCGTTAAAATAACTACAATCAGGGCAGTGTGTCTAAAATCCAGAAATCGTCATCAGGACAACAAAGGTAGAACACAAATAAAACAGACGGTCCCTGAAAAAGGGATTCCTTCCTTTTGAGTCTTTAAGATTCTAATGTTCAGTTTGTCAATCAAGTTACATTAACCCTCAACTGTCACTTATTAGCACTGGAGAATAAACAATATTGATTTTTATGTTTTAAAGTCACTTCTCATAATTGAGAGTAATGCTCATTTACTTTATTCTTTCTCCCTAGTGAGTTTATTTATTTATTAT